GAAGGATGGACATCGGGAGGGGGGCCCCCTTATTGGACAGCCGACCACCAGCCCCTCTGGTCAGATCACGAACGATTGGCCCGTGCTCAGGCCGTGCCAGCAAACGACATGGCTGTTGAGGAGTACAGCTTCGTGCTTGCCCAATTTGGGAGATGCCGATGAAGGTGACTTGGAATTGCTCCATGAGTATTAAGTCAGTCTTTGTGTCTCGACAGCTAATCCCAAGGCGTCGTTTGAGCAGAAGCCAGGACAGGTGTCATCACAAGGTTTATCTTTCGCCCATCAGCTTTTCCACCCAAAATCCGGGGACGAGCAATCAACAGCGCCACAGTTTCGCGACATGAAGCTTGCGTGTCGATTAGAGAGCGCCTACCCCCGCCTGAAATGAAGCTCGAACATTGTCTGGCCTGTGGACGCTCGACGAATATCCTGCATATAGGCACTGTACAGTTATCACGCTGAGCCTAGGCGTGGTGATCTCCACGCTGTTTCCCGGTGGCTCTGGCATCCAGTCATTGATTTCCACAGCATCACGACTGTGACAGAACAAAAGATGGCCCCTGGATGCTGCAGATTGTTCGTGACTTGTGTCAGCTGAGCACAGCATCCGAGACCAGATGCTGGGTGAGTTGTCATCAGCCTTTGCTGCTGCTTCATGCTGGCTGACTTTCTTATTCTGCATCTATGAGACAGATCCTCGAAGTCAAACGAATGAAGTTCGCGTTTTGCTGATCAGCGACGCTTTCATGGGGACCGCACGATGGTTGAATGACGAGTGGTCACCTTGGGGATCAGGGGGCATTGAAACAATAGGGCAGAGCCTTAATCAACCTCATTCGACGCCTAGCCAAAACCTGCTGCTCAGGTAGATGGTCAACCTCTCGATACCCATAATGCAGCACGCTCCTCCAAAAAGTTCCATCTCAACTTCGACAGCCTCGCAGCTTTTTCCGTCGGTCCTTGCACAACCGGCGTAGCACTGAGATCGCCAGCCTAGACACTGAACTAGAAGCATGTCGGTCATCTCGGTCACCATGACATCCGAAGGATCTCGTAACACTCATCTTCGTATCCCGATGAACTGGCGACAGCCGGCGCCAACCAACTAGGCCAAACAACTCGCGGTGCTAATCTCTACAGGACCCCTATTGCGATCCAATCATCTCCCACCAACCCTCTTACCAATCCTTGCCCCCCCGGTATCGAGTATCAAGTACAGCGTTCAAGGCCGCGGTGTGCTG